AAAATAATTTTAAATTAAAATAAACATTTCAGAATATGAATAATTTATCTTTTGTGATAATTCATAAAAATAAATTAGTATTACAATCTAATTTTAATTTATCGGATCTATATCACAATGATTAGCTCGTCATTCATTAACTGTATTTATTGTATAACTAATATAGTACAGTACATTTAGACTTATATGTGCATTATATCAATTTTGTTTAAATACAAACAGGTATTTATTTATAAAAGGTATATTACTACAGAATTTATTATATTATTATTATTATATATATTGAAGTTCATTTTTACAGGGTTATTATATTGCTTTTATATTATTTGAATCAGATTTTGTGATATTTTTATAGCTAACATTTTAGCTCTAAATATGGCACAAATGAAAAGTAATGTTTTGTTTTATGGTTTTAAAATGGTCATTTAAAATACCGAATAATCTAGAATAATGTAGATCTGAATGTGATCTGTTAATGTATATCATTATTTATAAATGATAAATAATGCATTATATTTTTATATTGTACAATTTTATAGATAACCTAAATTAAAATTCAAAAATATAAATTTGTTTACTTAATAAATGCTAAGTATATGTTTGAAATAAGTATTATTTTTGAAAATGCGGATTTTAAAAATTATATTACAAACTATAAATAAATATTTAATTTGATTTGTGTAATATTGTTATGCTACCATTATCAAATACAAAACTACCAAAAACTAATTATGAAGAGGGTGATTTTCTTTTAAATCAACACAAATACCCATAAATTATGATAATAAAAATAATATGAATATATTAAATATATTTATTAAATTATGATTATATAAAACAGAAAGTGGGCGTCATTTGTATGATCAGAAACATTAATAATGTTAAACACATAAAGAGATTTAAAGATTTGTATTTATGCTAAAATTGTATTAAATATTCAAAAGCACTGAATGTGTAGCGTTTTGGGAATTAAACTAAATACTTGTTTTCAACGATTTTGAGCTATATTTATCTGGCAAACTGTCAATACACTTATTTTTATTTAATCATCAAATAAATAAATTTTTAAGTGTTTTATTTTGTTTGTCAGTTGACAATTAATTTCTATTATATTTGGTAATTGTATAGATTAAAGTATAAAATAAAATACTGTATTTGTTTAGTTTTTCACATTCACAAACAAGAATTCTTTTTAAATGTTTTTCAAAAACACTTATTTTCATTTAAATACAGATTATAAATAAATATCTTAATTTCTATTCACCTGGTGAAATTAATGAAATGGAATATAGAAATATTGCAAGTACAAATATAATGCTATGAAAGTGTATCGAATTTCTAAGAAAATTCAATAAATGAGTTCATAAATAAGAGTAAGATTTTGCCAAATAAATGAGTTTGCATTACAGACTATACTATTCATGAGTTTCTCTATTCGTTTTAGTCAACAAATGTTTGTCTCATCTTTATATGCATTGTTTGTATAGGAATTTCTTATATTCATTGCCTATATATGAGAGTGTATCTCAAGAATCCATATTCTGTGAGTGCATGTCATCAACAGTAGTATGCATACCGAAACGCTCGGGGATTATATAATGTATAATAATAATACTGTATATATCTATAATACAGTATACACTTACTGTATTTGTATACTACAGTAATATACGTAATATACTGTATGTATATTATTTATATATCTGTGAATATTACGATTTTATGAGAGTCTAGAAAATTATCACTGATTCAAATTATCTATTATTTTAGTGCTCTCTCTCTCTCTCTCTCTCTCTCAATATTTAACAGAAAAGTAAATGGATTTGTGCAATATAATGATCATTTTCTAAACGTGTATAATTTCAAACTTTTTGTTACTTGTTAGTATAATTATGTATTATGAAAATAAAGAATGAATGAATTAATATTAATTTATAACTATTTCTAGTATTATATAAGAAACTATTTTTACTACAAAAATAATTATTTTTATTAATGAGTAACATATATTCTTTTCTAAAAGATATATTATATTACACATTTACCATTTATAAATTAGTTTGTGATTTCAAAACTACAATGAATTTGGTATAGAAATTCCAAATGCTTCTAAAAAAGTATTAAAATAAAGATAAAAGATATGTAATAGTATTAATGATTTACGTAATATTGCCTTGCTTTATACCCCATAATATAAGACATAATATGTATATTATACAACTACTGTAGGTACAAATATACATACAATTGCATACTGTACAGTACAGTAGTGGTGACAAAAACATCATACAAGACAACATGTTTGTGTGTTTGCCGCCACATATTTGCGTTAAATATATTTTTAGAAATACATTAGTCTTCAGTTGTGTCTTATATTCTTATCGCCCACTGATTTCGATACAGAATCCCTGTGCGACAAACATACATAAAGCACTTGTAATGTTTTATTAGCACAAGTAGTTGTACCCATATTGCCTAAAAGTTTCTATTGTTTCTCCGGTATTACTAAACATGCATTAATTGTAAAAGTTTTTTCATATTAAGTTATTTTTGCAGTTATAAATAGAAAAGTCGTTTATTCTTAGATACATTCTTACAAGTTTTCTACCTTGCTCTCATGACAATATTCTATATAATAAAGGTAAATTATTCAGATACATCACGTTTATTGTTAATGTGCAATGAATTTCATGGATGTATCATATATTGCAGTGATTTATGAAATTATTATAAATAATAAAAGCACGAGACGTTTGCCATACAAAGCCTTATATCAGACTTATAACAATAGACAGCTAGAAATCTTAACATTTCATTCAACATATATTTTAGTTTAGTTTCATAAAAACATATGAATGGAAAAATGATGAGAAAAATACTTTCATTTAAATCGTTGCTTTTATCTAAATTTTTATATATTCTTATATTCTGTACAAATGGGTTGTGAATGTAAGCGTAGAATTGCATTAAGGTCTTTTTTATTTAAAAAAATATTATGCTTTTTAATAGATGAAGGATGCATATATTTACTAGTTATTTATCAAAATTCTATTTCAATACTTACAAAACTTTACTTAATAGCAAAATTTATTTCCAATTTTTCATTCAGAAAAGCAGTATTTTTGGTACAAAATTTTATTTATATTATTATAATATTTTTTTAATATCATATTTTTACACACTATACGCCATATCTGTCGCTCATAATACACATCAGAATTCACTTTCATTTAATTTAATGGCCGGATATATGATATAAGATATAATGTATATGTCTTGTTATAGTGAACCAAATGTAGTATCGAATCACTTGCTTTCTGACGTAAAGCTCAGTCCTAAGTGTAGTCACTAAATATAAATTTATATAATGTATAAATGGTTTCTATCAAAAAAATATGTTTTCAAAAATAACAAATTTGACTCCCATAAGAATATCTAACAGAATATTCTTGGAAAATTCTAATATCAATTATTAAATTCAAGTGAACCGTTTGTTTTACAGTTTACCTGTATAGTACCTGTATAGTTTCTATATCATTGAAGAATATAATTGTCAATATAATTTTCAATAGTACAGTACAATATTTTTTAAATAAATTATAATGGATAGTAATATAATATCTACACACAGTATAAATTCAAGAGAAAACGCTTGGTTCTAGCTTTGTTAATAAAAATCTTAATCCCTGATCTAGATGCAATCAGACTGCTTATAATTTGAATAAATTGTGTAATATGGCTCACTGGGATTGGACTAGCTCGAACACAAGTCCTTTCATTAACATCACTATAATTTATATTAAATTATAATTCCATACATTAGTTATTATAACCCAATTATGAAGTGTAACTCATTTCAAACTTAATCACTTAATCTTATATCTTATTACCAATATATCTCTTAAGTTTATACGATAGGCGCTCATTGGGATAGTCGATATTAATCTACACCTGTGCTTTTCAATCATATACTACTTGCTAAAGGTATCGATATCGACTATCTATACTTTCCACAATGATGCCCTATCGTATAAACTTAAGAGATATCAAAACAAACATCTCTCTCTCTCTCTCTCTCTCTCGTCCATTCAAACGTTCATTTATTTATTTATTTTTCTGTGAATGAATAGAAAACATGTTTTTTATTCAAAGAAATATAAATATAAGTTATTTTGAAGCTGCCTTTTGGATTATATTTAATAAATTCTTGTTTGTAACGAATGAATGAGTTTTAATATGTAGAGAGCGTAGGTGTCATTCCTATGGCTATTCATCTAATAAATAGACAGTACCTGCAATTGGACATCTGTCTATCTATTAATAGCAGTATTGAAAATACAACTGTTTTATTAAAAATATAATTATATAAAACAAGTGTTTATCATCCAATAATTACAAAAAATAAAGAACGAAAATTAATCTAAGCAATTAGAATATAATTAAATTATTTACTTTAATCATTAATCTTTTAAATCAATTAATATACTGTAGTAATATATAAAATAATTAAAGTTATATAATATTAATATATATTTTAAATTCTTATATAATTATTTTAAAAAATTGCAAAAATAGAAATGCAATATAATATATTATAATATAATATAATATACATATTATGTTACTGATATAAATTCTGTATACTCTGTAGTGAGCATGAAATCATTAAAATTAAACTTTTATACATTTAAAGTATATTTATTTTAACAAATTATTAATATTAATAATTATTAGAAATAAAAAATATTATTAGGTTGACCTAAAATTTAAAAAAGAATTTTTTATTTGATTTCTATTTTAAGAAACTATGCGCTCAACTAACTGTTAATATTCTTTGCAAACTTTTAAATATAAATATCATTTATAGAAACCACTAACAATTAATACATAAAATTATGGGTTAATAATGAGAATAATAATAGTTATCCCTTTCGTGAACCCGCAGTCTGAAGGGCACAGAATTAATAATACCGGTGGAGGAGGAGTCGCCCAACAAAACGATGGGAAACTGTCGGATATGTAGGAAAGCCATTGAAGAGGACGAGAACTTTCACACCTGTAGTAATTGCCATCAGTTTGTATGCGACGACTGTTCCTCGTATTCATCGCGTGACGAATCAAAAGTATTATATTTATAAATACATTACAAAACATCCATAAAAACCATTATTGCGTTTCGTATGAATGCCTGTTCATAATGTATACGAAATCTATTTATAGTACTGGATGTGCAGTTTCTGCCGGAGACGGGGCTCGCATCTCATCCCGGCTACCGGTGCTGTCGAGCCATTGGGCATGAAGAGGACACCATCTTTTAGCCGAATGGTATGAATGATAATCTATTTATAATGTATACATTTCTGTATCATTTATATGTAATGCACTCTCAATATGATAGCGTGAAAAAAAGAAAATTTTACTTTCGTTATTTATAATATAAAACTGTAGTATAAATAATTTAGTAACAAATATAAATAAAGTATTATCACCGTTAATACAATATTTGACTTAAAATTATCCAAAATACATTATGTTTTAAAATTAAGACATACTACAATATATAAGTCAAGATAACTTTATAAGTAAGGTTATTCAATATTTTATAAAGTGTATTAATGAATGACTTTTAAAACACTGTTATGTAAAATTAAACAATTTTAGCATTTAATTTACTCATGAGTTGTAAAGTATTACAGTATATCAACAATTGAACCCAAAACCCAATTATAATTTAAATGACCCGTTCATTGCAGACGAGGTACGGCTCGGGTGACTCAACCCGTGGTCTCAACCTATCGTCTAAAGGGGCCTCAAATATGCCGCCGATATCTCCGATCACTAAAGTAAGCCCTCAAACATACCAACCATTGCTTTCTTAACCACTATATTAACCATATTATGACCACAAACAGCGTCGGCCGTCCCTAACAGACCAGCCCCGGCAGCACTCACTGGAGGCCACCTCGTCGGTGGCCTACACCAAGTCCAACGGTCAGCCGGGTATCCATCGGTCGCATTCCCGTCCCTGTTCTCCACCCGACAAATACTCATCGCACGGACCGGGCGACCGATACGCCTCATCGGAGGCGCTGTCGGACAGTCGGCGCTCGTCCAACGACTCGGCGGCTGTTGTGGTGCACCGGTTGCCGCCCAGCGATTCCGGGTTCAAGTCGCGCGACGAGTGCTACCATCGGACCAAATCGTATTCAGTGTCCGACGAGGAGGACGACTCGTCCAACGAGGACGTCAGCGAAGGCATGAACCGGTCGGTGATCGGCGGCGGACACCATCACCGGCGACAGAGGTCTCGCAAGTCGAAGATTCATCGCCAGAAGAGGTCGCTCACCAACGACGACGACCTGGTCGTCCAAAGTAGTAATAACATCAATAACAACAACACGGGCTCAGCCGGGCAACTGATGGCCAATAATAGTGAGACACATCTGCGGCACATATCCTCAGACGCCATGATTTACTCGCGGAATAACGGCTATCAGACCCGTAAGAGTTCCGAGAGTTCCGACGTCAGCGATATGAGGTATGTCCGCTTGGTTTAGACTTATTGTAGTGGGTGGTGAACATCCACAACACTGCCCACCATATTATTATTTGCATCCATTATTTGTCTGAACCATAACCATCTCAAACCCCGACTCCATTCAGGTTCAGTCCGCCGCCGGAAAGCCTGACCCCATCGTCAGAGTACTCGCGTTCGCCCCGCGAATCGGCCGACTCGGACATGTTAGGCCTTCCCACGTACCCACACCTGCAAACTCAACGCCGATCCATACCATCAGTGTTGGTGGACGTCGTCGACACCAATCACCTTACGCTCAAAGACTGCTTCCCTCGGCGGGGGTCGACGGGTCGGGCGCTGCCCAAGATTCCAGTGGTGGAGCCGTCCCGATCCATGTTAGACCTGCCGCACTCACGCAAGTCTAGCTCCCACTCCCTGGACCTACCTATGGATCAGCCCCGACGGGCGTCCGCACCAGAGGGCGAGAACATACGTATTGTGATCGACGACGTGGACAGTCGTAACGTTAGGAACTCAGTGACTCAGTTCGAGCGGGTGATATTGCACCGGGATGAAAATGACCGCAGTAATAGGACCCGGGGCTTCGGACTCAGTGTGATTGGCGGCAAAATGAATGAGCAGGATGGTAACCTGTACGCGTACGTGGCCTGGACACAACCGGCCGGACCCGCTGATAAAATGGCACTCAAACCGGGCGATAGGATACTGGAGTGGGACGGCAAGTCTCTGGTCAACTGTAGCTACGAACAGGTCTGCCATACCATTGAGTGCTCGTCCGATACCGCGGAGTTGATCATCGAGTCTATGGTCAAGAGGTTTGTTGCTTTTGAATACGAAATTTAATTGAATCTATAATTGTGTCTATAAAACAATTTGCTATTTTCTATCATATGATTTCCTATAAATTTATTGTATTGTTTAGGGTATAATATTTATCTCATAAAACCAGAAGTTTAGTCATTTGTTTAAGTATTCAAGCAGAAATGAAATAAATGTTATAAGTGGTCAGAATTTCAATTATATTTTTATATTTATGACGTGTTTTCAACATATAAAATAATATAAAGCCCATTATTGACAGATAAATGGTTTCTATAAAACATCAGAAAACAATTGTCACAACCATATTGACAATAAATATTAAGTGTTTGTCTCATTGGTTAAGTACTTTACTTCAGTTCTGAAAAACGTTCAGTTTTTTAAAGATTTATTTGTAATTATCTAAAAGCGTTTTCTCGGAAACTCAATAAAATTGTGCTATCACTTGAAAATAACATTTTTCTAAATCCCTTAAAATTGTTGGAAACCGAAATAAATCGTTTTCAAGTTGTATGCACTTATTTAACGAGCATTGTTTTAAACAAAAACAATTATTGTACTTTTTTAACACAAAATTTAGTGACAGACTCTCAGACATCCATCCTTTCACAATAGTTATGATTTTGTTTAGCCTTATAAAAGTCTAGTTTCATTGTCAATGTCATACAAATCACTAAAAGTTTCACAAAAAAAATATTAGTTTACACATATTAATTATGTTTAAAAAGTATGTTAATAACTATGGAATTTCCAACATGTAAGTCCTCTATATATAATACTTATAACTGTTTATTTTAATATTAAAGTGAGAATAACGGTCATTATGTGCACCAAAGGCGCCGTTTAAGCCAAATGTTAAGCCAGGCGTCTATGGACTTGTCGGGTGTGGGCGGTGGCCAATCGGGTGGCGTCGGTGGCAGTGCCGCCAGTCGCAGACGTTTGCCCAAAACGCCCGAATCAATGTTGGGCGCCGGCTGTCAAGAGTCTAAACAGGGTGAAATACTACTACAATGCTCGCTGGACAATGACCACAAACAGCTCACTATAGGCATAATATGCGCCAAACGAGTGGTGGGCCTAAAAGCACCCTCATATGCACAGTTGCATATATTGCCTGAACTGTAAGTATATCTCATATTTCTATGTCTTTATCTCACAATTTAAATTTTATTTGTATTATTAAGACTTAAGTGTAAAATTAAGTATTTTGGTTGCGTTGGTTCACTAAAATAATGAAAATTCTCATAGAAAACTGTGAATCAATTAATTGCACATATTATACACAAATAATTGATTGTTTTTGTGCCCAACAGTGGCTTCAAAATATGTAAGACTGAGCCGAGCCTTACCCTGGAGTGGAACGAGACCTTAATTTTCCAACAGTTTCCCATCGATAAGGTAAGGGACTATTTATCATCACTTAAATCGTGTGCTTTTCTTAAGACTATTGGCTAAACATTTAATTATAAATATAAGTTATGGTTCGCTGAACACAATAGGCTTTAATAAAGTGAAAATAATTACATTATTTGATCCAAAAATCATTAATTACGGGCTTTTGTTGTGATAAATAGGTGGGGGATATGGCGCTTGAGATTACCATTTGGGAGAACTCGGCCAACAGTAGCGGTCAGCCCAAGCCATTGGCCACTACTGTCATCCCGTTGCGCAGCGCTATACTCCATCACATCGACTGGTGGCCACTACTGGCCCCCAACTCCAGCTTCGTTAAGGCCACGTCCATGGAGTATATAGGTTTGTCAAGACTACCTGTCCACTATTGTTCAATACAGATTTCTGTACATTACTAGCATTATTACTGTTTCATAAAACTATTAAACTCTTTAAAATTTATAAGTTAATTTCAATAACAGTCAAAATTGATAAAAGGACTTTTGAGCCTATTTTTAATATACAATTTTGGTTATTTTAAACCATTTTATACACTCATTTATATAGCGCTGTATATACCCGGGTACTTTTAAAGCCCTTTTATACACACTCTCTTTTATAGTCCTTTTACACACTCTTAATAACGATATTATTATTGAACTTAACTGTAAAACTAGACTTAAAACTATATCAACATTTTACTTAACATCTCATATATTCCCTTAGAATTTGAAATGATTTATTACAGTCTATAAAAATAAATTAAAACTATTTACAGTAGCACATCTAAAAACTTATAGCCGTATTATAAAAGCTAGAGAACTTTTTAGTTTACTAGTTTAAACATTCATAATACATTAGTCTATTATTAAGAGATTTGTTTCAATGGTTGAATCTAGTTCAATTCATTCAGCTACTTATTAGTTGTAATGAAATAAATGTCTAAAATGAGTTCACATTTGCCTCAATTTATACCGCAATAGCCATCAAACACGACGATATGATGGCTAACGGGGGCTCGCGTTCAATGCCGGGCAGTCGTCGCAACTCTAACCGGTCGTCCGTTTGCTACGAAAGTCTGTCTCAACAGCCGTCGAAGGCGTCGCTCGTGTCGTCCGGCGGCTCCGGGCGGCGATCGATGGACGAGACGGCGAGCCCGAAGCGCGGCTCCAGTTTCCGACTCAACACTCGCCACTCAGTCACCGACCTGAACCCAGTGGACCCGTCGGTCAAGGAGCTACTGGCGCCCCAATACGACCCGCGCACTCGGCGCAAGAGCTCGTCGGCCTTAGCTCAGGCCAAACTCAAGCGCAGCCTATCGCTCAAGTCGGACAACACGGGCACCGCCACCACCGCCAGCCGCTCCGATTCGGTCGGCTCGGCCTCAGACCTGTTGTGCGACTCCGAGATGCAGAGCGCCGTCGATCGGTGTTGCGGTGAGATTAAGCTCGGCTTCATTATGACCAAAGGCCTCCTCGAGATTGAGGTCATCTCCGCCCGCGGTCTTCCCAATTGCCTCAACGGTCAGCCCCCGGGTATGTATTGTCATTGTCATTATGCCAGGGTCACATAGCTTACATAGAAGTTAATTTTAATTTTTACAAATACCGGTACTATGATTTATAAATTGATATTTATGTGAATCTAATTTAGGGATTGTTAGTGATCTCATTAGCGATTAAAATTATATTAATTAATTTGTATCTTTTGTCTGCAGACACATACGTCAAGATATACCTGTGCGATAAGGGGCGCCAACTGCACAAACGTAAGACCCGGGTGGTTCAAAATGATAGCAACCCCCAGTATAAGCAGACCCTGAAATACGACGCCTCCATGATATACGGGCGCACATTATTGGTGTCCATTTGGGACAAACAGAAGGGCTTTGAACACAACACTCCTATCGGTGCCACAGAAATACACGTCAATAAACTAGAATTACATAAATTGACGATTAAATGGTATAAATTGGATACTCTTGATAACGTCAAACAGTTTTCCGATTGATACCAATATGTTTGCCAAATAGTGTTTTAATTAAAAAACATGAAACCGCTAAATACCTAATGTTATAACAGCTTAGTTACGTATGAAATTGAAAAATATATCTAATTTTTTATAGAAATTAATTAAGATTAGACAAAATATACTATTAACACATATATACAGGGAGATCAGTAATTTTAAGGCAAAATATTAGGTAATACAGTATTATGTCCACTAATCCAAGCGCATAATCATTTAATTGACAAACTTATGAAAACTGATTTAAATAATATATTTATATAAATAGTATTTTTGCTCACTTCAAGAGATTTACTTTTTAAAAGCTAAAATATAAGCCAATTTTTAATATGTAATATAAGGATAATTATTACTAACCATATCAGAGGCAAACAGATATCGAGAGAATTTAATTTTTGCACAAAAAAGTTAACAGAAATATTAAACATATGAATTGAATCAAAAGTTTGCTATGAGCCAGTAAGATTTATAAATAATGTACAGAATATAAACTAAAAACCACAATTTAATATTTGTAAATAGAGATTATTATAAATAAATTTAATAATATATTAATGTATTAATCAATATTTAAATTATCTATTATTATAGATTCTTAAGAAAAATATAATTATAATTTATTTTCTATGAACTTAATTATACTAGTGTATTGTAAATAAGGAATGTTCATATAAATTATATAATTAATCTTTATTATACGATATAATATGTATTGTATAATGAAGGAAATACTATGAGAGACATAAGTATATAATTTTTATTAATAACCTGAAAATTATTAATGGAAAATATAATCATATTTTTCACGTGATCAATTAACCAACTACAACAAATACTTTGAAAACCTGGCACAATTATAATAATGAAAATCTAACGTACAATTTGGTGACATTCTTCTGAAAGTAGACTAAACTAAGAGTTATTAGATTTCATGAATAAAAATCAAAACAAAGACATGAATTACTGGAAGAATTGTTTGTATAACAAATTGTGTACAATTAGAAAACATGTTATAAATAACAGTCATTTTATGCAATCTATTGTATACTGTACAAGATACACTATTACATTTATGTGAATATTCTATAACTACAGTATTATACATAAATAAAATTTATATTAAAACTAAATATATGGTATATTATTATATATTATTATAAATGAATGTAAATTACTATATGAATTATATTTGTAATTAATTGTTGATTTAATTGTCTAAATTCTGGGAGAAATTTGTTGACAAATGTATTGAGATACTGTATAAACGCATACAAAAACACTGACACTGAATATTATGGGCGAAAATAAATGTTTTTTATAAACATTATTTTGACCCTAATATTTATATGTTTTGTATGCCTTTACAAGTGATTTATATTGTGCTTTAATATTATATTATATAATAGTATATACAGTATATTCGTTTCTATATTTACCTTAAAACAGATAAATTGTATTTAAATTTAAATAAAAATACTATAAGAAAGGAAATTAAAGATCTTATTAATTAAAATATATGTGCACATTGATTTAAACATAATCTTTTAATATATTTAAGGTTAATACACTGGAAAATTGGAAACTGGCAATTGAGTGCCATTTAATAATTGTTATTTTCCGTTCGTTTGACTCTTATATATATATAAGTTATAATATAAGTATAATATAAATATAAGTTATATCAAACAAAATATTCAACATTTTCAACAATATTCAAAATAAATACATTTGGGATTTAATTTGATGTTTCTTATAAAAACAACAAAATCTTTTTTAAGTTAAAAAACGTATATCAAAATCACAAAATAATATAAGCTAAATTAATATTCAGTTTCCGTATATATTTATTCAAATTTATAAGAAAAAAGTACATCACATGAATAAACATGGAATAAAAATCATTGTTTATATGTACTGTATATAAATAAATTCATATAAAAAACAGAATGCTTTTAAAGTTTAGATAAATAATTTATTTTACTTTCTCGTATTATATCTTATATTTAGGGCAAATGTCTTACTTTTTTACTTTTATTTTCAATCTTTTTTTTGTTTAGCAAATTGAATAGATTTCAAATCAAAACATACCCCCACCTGTACATCCCTTTAAGATACTATACCTATTCAGTACAGAATATGTCATTAAAAATGTATATACTTTCTAAAAATATCAGATTTAATATTATAATAATAAGTATTTTGATTCAATATTCAATACACCATGTGTTGGCCATAATAAATAGTAAATTAATAACGCAGGCATAGGATATCCTGATTATATCTACTGTAATATGTTTTTCTAACATAACTATTTGTGATATAAAATTATGTTTGGCTAATGAATAAAATTGATTCAACAGTTTGTGTGCGTCTATGAAAGGCTCGCAAATTGACATAAACATAGAGTAGGTCTACGGTATATGCAGTCTATGCTGTATATTATGTGTAAGTAATTTAGTTTAAGCCTTATTTATCACTCACTCCTACAACTGTATGTGCGCTCAAAAGGCAATATAATTTTGTGCAACTCTTTCGTATGAGTGCAGAATATTCTTGTATATCACTTATGTATAGGCATACCATACCCCGGGTTGACAGCGAAATCAGGTCATTCCCAGGGCTTCTCATACTTTATGAAACAGAGTATGAGTGCTAACACATAATAAACAAATATGTGAATAACAAGTTAACCGGAATTTATAGACAAACAATTGTACAACTTTTTAGAAATTATTTGAGGGCCAATTTTCCAATGTATTTGACATTTCAAGTAATAAAATCTAATAATATACATTATCATATTATGTGTACATTTATCTACTATTTTATCAATAAATATAACAAAATCTATAGAGAATTAATAATATATTAAAATTATATTAAATTTTTTAGTCATTTAATCGCAATTTTTGAGCTCTTTTTAAGCCAGTTTTCCGCCGAGACCTTCATATAAATGTATATATAATGCATTCGTATGGAGAATATTGTGCATTCAATTTAAACATAACATTCTGTAGAATATATATATTCAAAAGCAAACCTCAATCGATAATTTCCAGGTATAGCTATGGTATAGCACTGGCGGTATAGACACACATACAATACGAAGTGTGAATAGCCTTATAGTATTACAAGAATTGCACAGAATATACATTGGGAAGCACTGTACGAAATAGCGAGTGACTGGTGTTGTTAATGAAAGTGAGTGTAGAGTAAATATAATGTCACTAACAATTTGGTGGATCACATAAAATATGATATAATAATAAAAATAATACATTAAATAGTAGCGAATATTCTCTGTAAGTATTAAGTATGATATAAAACTATACGAACATTAATAGATAAAAAGTTCATTGATTTTTATTAAATAAAAAATTTTACTAACATAATTTGATGCTAGTATTAATGTTGGTATAATTAAATTTTAATATTTAAAGCTTGTATCAATTATTTATTTCATTAAGTATATGATTTTGTATATAAATGTCAAATGTAACACAGTTTTATAGAAAAAATTCATTTGAAAAACTTTTTATACAAATAATATGATTACTTGTATAAAAAATTAGTTTGCAATTATATTGAAATGTTACTAATGTATGCGAAAATATATTAACTAAACATAAATTAAAGTAAAATATAATGTAAATGATTATTTAAAATTAAATAATTGTGCTTTTATTTATTTTAATTGTGTTATAACTTAATAATGAGCAATGAATCAAATAATAATAAAATGAACGAATGCATTAGTAGTAGTAATTTACAAGTAAATTATAAAACAATGAAAACCAATGACTAGATATTATGTAAAAACTAATTTTTCAATGTATTTGCCAATTTAGTATTAAGGGTTTCTTGAGCTTTACGTCGAGCCATGAGAAACCTATTTCTATCAATCGTCTGAAGTCTGATAATTCTCTCAAAATTCAAAGCATTGAATACCAGATAATTGCGAATTATTTCCGTCACGAATACACCCATTAAATCGAGACTAAACGCGTCGGTATTCCAGTCCAAGACATCCAAAGTTTCAGGTGTTATATGAACGGCGAAACCGATATTAATTACAGCAATAACTACGGCATAAAAGGTGTGTCCCGACAATAGGTTCGGCATAAATAGTACTCTCAGTCCAATTTTCCTACTATAATCAAACGGATGGTATATATCGTCAATGCTTTTATACAATAGAAACGAGTTTAGGCCGCCGACTACCAGTGCCCCTATCTGTGCCCATTGTGGCCAACTTCTATTTGAATCCGAGGGGAACACCATTATAGCGTTGAGTATAGGCATTAGGAATATGAGCCAAAAATGTAGATGAAATGATTTGATAAGTAGTTTGTGATTAACATATTTGCGTAACTCTTCTCTGTCAACGTTAGTAAACTCGTCCGAATCCCTGTCCTCCTC